CTAATTTTTTTCATGAATATGACTTAACCTGATGGATGACGCCGCGCGCTGTTTAGGCATGTTTTGTGCCGTTGATCGTCGTCGTCATCCTTAATAAATAAAACATTTATTCATGCTTGGGTGTCGGCTGTGAATCCAGTGGAGAGAAATCCCCCACAACTAACTGCAAACTGGCTTTCAGACCTGCCTCCATTTTGTTAGCAACGCCCCAACTTCCAACTTCCAACGATCCAATCAATTCCCGAAGGACGAAATCAATTCCCGCCCTCTCATTTCAGATGCCGTTTCACTCGGATATACGTCACAGTAGAGAAGAAAAGACAATCGCAACTTCCGTTTCATGCCGACTTTAACTGCAGATTCAGGCCACTGTTTTAGTTTAATAATGTATTTATAAAAGTTTTTTAAAGGGGTCATATGATGCTATTTTAAAGATCATTATTTTGTGTATTTGGTGTAACAGAATCTGTTGACATGCTTTAAAAGGAAAACTTGAAATCGCATCATATGACCCCTTTAAGACATGAACTGTTTTCTTGAATTTAAAAAAAGTAATAAAAATTTAACTCCTGTCACCTGAGATGCCTTCATCTGATTGATTTTTGAAGGCAGTGTAGATGTATCCTTCGCTGCCTTTGATATCCCACAATCCTGTGTGTTCCATTCTGAGCTAAAAAATAAATATGGCATCTGAAATTTGTGGATGGTGGTCAGTTTGTGTAAATGTATGTTTTTGACCAACATCTTCCACTTTCAATGTTATTTCTAGCAAGAAATTACTATTATAGTAATTAAATATTCACTCAGTTATCAACAAAGCTCACTCTATTTTGTTTTATATCATTAAACCGTTATGCTGCCTCAGAAGTATGTCCGAAATCAGTTATGTTCATTATGCATCATGTTCTGGAATTAAATTGTGAGACTTTTTGCAGAGATCTTGCAAAATGTTGCGGAAACCTTTCCAGTGCAAGTTAAATATTAAAATAATTAGATATTACATATAATTTGGTAGTAAAACATAATGTGTTGCACATTTTATGTCACAAGCAAATGTACAGCAGGTTTAAGCTTCAGCATAGGGCACATCCCAGTGTCAGGCTCAAGTACATGAGACGTTATTAATAGCTTTAAGACATGGTCTCCATCTCTCTGGGCTGCAAGAACAAAAGGAAACGTGTTAGAATACAAAAGCTTGCTTTCTATTGGGGAAGTACCCACACAGTTTGGACCATACTGAAATAAATAAGAACAAACCTGTGCTTTACTGTACTGGGCCTTCTGTCGCCATGCGAGGAAGAACTAAATAGAAGAGCAAAAACAGTTAAGACTACAAGCACCCATCAAGTTAAATCATCACTGAATCATCAATGAACTGACTTTAGCTGGAAAAATTTGATTGTCTTCTTGCATTATTGACAAACTATTTTCCTGTTTGACACTGTAAAGCTGCTTTGACACAACCAGTATTGTATAAAGCACTTTACAAATAAAGGTTACTTGACTTGACTTAAATGAAACTTGAAAAGTATATGGTACTTACCAAAACCAGAAGTCCTGCAATCACAATCAAGCTGACCACCACAATGACAGCAATGATACCACCAGTCGGCCTCTGCATGGTGAAGGTGGGCGCCACTTCATCTACATAGTACACCAGGATGTTCTCCATGGACACCTTTGATCCCTCAACACTGACTTCAAATGGTTTATAGTCTTGAAAGAGGGGCTTAAATTTGATCTACGAAAGACAAATTAATTTAGTTACATATTAAGTTACAACATAACACCAGGTATGAAGATAAGAAACTGAAACGAGACTCACGTCCTTCTCCATGTAGTAAGTCATGAGGGACAGGTCTGTAATGCGTTCTTTCTCAGGCTTTTTGACATCCACAACAATGAGACGGCCATCTTTGTCATACTGGAAAAGAGGAGGTGGGTCGTGTTAGGTTCTGTACCAAGTTGAAGGGTTAGATAACAACGGTAAATTCTTACCTTAACCTCAGACACAAATTTCTTATCCAACTTGTAACGTTCCAGCAAAGCATTCTCAATCCCACTGTAAAAGAGTAACATCAGTAAAACAAAACATAAGCAAAACTTCATATTTCACATGGTCCAGCAAGACCCTAGAAATCAATTGCAACATACATCTTCAGTTTGGTAGCATCAAGAGGAACAGCCACATCTTTATGCTTCAGTTCCAGGTGAACCCAACTAGAGAAGAAAACATGGCATTGTCAGAATTTACTAGTCTTGCTTCTTTCCACAAACAGCATTACTATTCCAACCACACTTCAAACTAGGTGTGTCGGTCAGAAAAACATCCTGTTAACAGCTCTGCTAATACAAACACACTCACTAGGTCTCCACGGGCTCACACTTGATGTTCTTGTCTCCCTTGTCACTTCTGCGCACACCAGCACTGTTGACGCACCAGCACACATCAGTGCCATTACACTGGATTGCCTTGAACTTTCCCTCATTCTCACACTCTGGGTCATAGATGCCATCATTGTCCACAAAGGCAGTTTCTACAGGTTTCCCACCAATGGATCTTGTGATCAGGTTGTACCTGGCGCGATACATCTCTGCTTTCATGAGGAAACACTTGGGAATCACTGTGGGTAGGGAGAATTGAAGACACTTACTACACTTGACGAGAGGAACAAAACACCCTGCCTGGTTTGTTGGTACGAACTATGGAAGCTGAAGCTCAGTTAGTTTAGGTGGTTACCAAAATTCCTCTAAATCACACTGGGAGACTGGTTTAATCTTTTAAAACCAATTTCACTAACATTTTAGTAAAGGATGCCAAAAAATACCAGTAAAACAATAGTTACCAAATTAACAACTTTAAGAACAAATATAAAAGAAAACTTACATTTTGTACAATCAATTGGTTGCTTGTATGGCTTAGAAAACTGAAGAGTGCACTGGCATGGGTCTCCGTCACATCTGGCCCATTTCATAGTGTTACAAGAACCTGTTGGATTAAAGAGAGAGAGAGAGAGAGATTTTGTGGATACATTTATTAAATACACTAAAACTTTATTTGGTAGATAGGTTAAAAGTTGAAATGACCCTGGATCTCATTGTTTTGTTTGCCTCCCAACTACCAAGTTAATAACAACTAGGATTAAACAGTTTGTCACAATTTAACCAGATATAGTTCGCTTTGTAAGCTACGTTTAAACAGCTTATCTTTTAATTATAGTTAAAATAGTTGTTACTTACATTGTGAGGTGACATCCACTAAGACAACAACAAACAAGGCGATCAAAACCTTCATCGTGGATAAGAACTGAAAAACAAAAACAGTTCCTGCGTTATAAATCACTCCGTTAGAGGAACTGATGTGTTAATCTCCAGAATCTCTGTGCAATTCAACTAGTCTTTAAACACTAAAATGCTGAAATCTTATTACCGAAGCTTTAAGAAAAACTAGAAATCCAACCAAAAAGAGTTATTCCACTTTTTGTGGACTCTTGAGCTTAACAATGAAGAGATCCCGCAGATATCCTCTCTCCCCTGCCAAATGACTAATTTAAACGCACCCTGCTGAAAAACACAATAGACACCATCACAAAATTTTTAATGTTTTTACTGGTTATAATGGGACTTGTATTGGTTTTAATGGAAACTCTAATGGACCCTGTGGGATTCTACTGGTAATTGGTCACCATCTATTGGTGTCCTGTTAAAACCAATACCAATAAAACCAATAAAATACACTACAGAAAATCATTTTTAAAAATGGTTTTAATGATAAAATTGAGAATTGAAACCATTAGAATTTTCTGTGATGGTTCTATTGTTTTTTTTAGCAGGGACAACAGGTGTCTGTCTTCTTTGCTTATGTGTTTGAATGAAAATACGTGATAACTGACAATTGAATGCATTTTATTGTTGTTTCTCTTTTTTATTTTTCCATATGTCCACTGGATGATGCTCTTATATGTTGTCCTGCAGTGATACTGTGTCTGATATTTTCTGGCTACACCCTGTGTCACATTTTCAAATGTCCAGGATTGCAGTTCTAAAGTGTGACTTGTTCAGAGTTGCTACAGAATCAGCAGACTTTGCTGGTCATATGTTCTATTGTTAGTTGTCAGCAATTCTGATATTTCCCCAATTTAACCTTGTTATTTCTCTACACCTAAAAAAAAACTATAGTCACCAGAATATAACCATCTCACATATAGATAAAGTGAAGTTTGTGTTACAGAACAAAGCTGAATCTATTCAAAAGCTCTATAATCACTTGGGTTTATCAAATTTTATTAAACGTTACATTTATGTGTGTTACAGTATTAATGTATATCTAAATTATTTCTAGTCACCTTTAGTTGAAGTTTTTTTTTTCCTCACTGTTATTTCCTAGACAAATAGCTAATATGGCTAGATAAAATGTCTAGATAAAATAGCTGGATAAAAACTTTTATTATTACTATACACATAGGCTAATTTACATTGAATATGTAGGAGTTTCTTAAGTCAACTGGTTAATATTTGTAAATGGGTCATTGAAAGAGCACTACACTCTTAAAAATAAAGGTGCTTCAAAAGGTTCTTCAAGCGATGCCATAGAATAACCATTTTTGGTTCCACAAAGAACCATTCAGTCAAAGGTTCTTTAAAGAACCATCTCTTTCTTACCCTTTTATCATCTGAAGAACCTTCTTTCGCCACAAAAAATCTTTTGTGAAACAGAAAGGTTCTTCAGATGTTAAAGGTTCTTTATATAACTATTTAGACAAAAAGGTTCTTCTATGTCATCGTGAAGCACCTTTATTTTTAAGAGTGTAGATAAAACCATCCGATCATAGTTTGAACATTTTTCTTTATCTGAAGAATTGTAGGCTCAACAACCAAAACTCAATTAAAAGACAATATACTCACTCAGAATTCACACAATCTGGAAATAAGATGGAATCTAATTCTATGCTCTAAAATAACTTGTTAGGTCACTCTTGTCGCCCAACTCTCTTTTAAACTCTCTCTCTCTCTTTAATTTAAATGAATACATTCTCATTTGTTGGCAGCAACTTCCTATTTAGTCATTCTGACCACAAAAATTTAGAGAAAGAGTTCATCTGTGGTACTGACATGTCACTAGTTTAGTAAAGTTATTATTAAGTTAAGTATGTGAAATACTTTGCCATTTCATTTTGTGTGAGAAATTAAATTAGAAAGTCTAAATCTACCTAGTTCAACATATCCCACCAGAAAAACTGCCAAGTGTTCTGTATTTGTGATACTGAGACATTTTTTTCCACTCTTTTAAAGCTTGACTCTAGCAGACTTTTGGTCACATGGCATAGACTACTTCTCCAGTAGCTCTACTTCCGGTGCTGTGGTTGTGCCACATGGCCACACATCGCTGTTTTCTGTTTTGTAAAGCAAACTTGTAGCTTAGAGCAAATGGCAATAGGGGACATTTTTATTACTAAAAAAATTGTTTATGAAGGTTATGGAAAAAAATTTAAGCATTAATGAGCGTAAAATAAGTTAAAGTTTTATTTATTTATGTGGTTGAATGATTTGTGTTGGAAAAAATGAGTAAAAACAGCTGAATAACTTGACCTGCTAAAATACTTGAACCACTGTGACGTCATCTAAATGTCATCTAAACGATCAAAACAGTATTTCAATTTGTATTATTTATTGTGCTCATAGTAATTAAACAATATGAAATATTTATAATTTTTTAGTCTACATCCTAAACATAGGCTACAGCAGCTTCAAAATTAATGTTTGAGGAATGACTGTGTAATTATGTTGTTGAACAAAACATGAAAATGTCATACATCTTTTAAAGGATATACAGTGAAATACCGTTTTAGAAAGAGTTGGTGGTGTTTTACAATGCTGTTGTGGTGAGCTGCTTGGTTGTTGTTTTTATTTAGTAATATGAGAAATATGCTTTCTGAAGCTTCGAATCAATTGAACCAATCTTAAAATGACTCACTGTTGGAGTGAACTGAAACCCCGCACACGGAGGACATCTGCTGGTCAAAGGAACACTTCTGGAAGTCTACCGTGCTCCACAGGTATGCGAATTGAGTACAGTTCCCAAACTCGGATTGAGAAATCTCCAAAACTATTGACTATAAGCTTACGTCAGTAGCATATTTCAAATGTTCAATAAAATCTGCCCAAATGAGTCACATTTTGCTTGATTAGCTAAAACAAGCTTCATTGATGATGCCATTTTGTCAGGACATCATTGTGGTGAATTATTCTTTTCATATTTTTTTCAGTACATTGTGTAATATCATTAACGTATAGGCAATGCGATATAACGCAGTGCCATTCTGTCAGTTGTTTTTGTCACTGATATTTAATAGCCCTGTAAAAGAAGAATCATGTCACAAAACAAAAGGATTTAAGCCTTGTGTGAGATGAAGTGCTCTCATCAAAAACACTTATGAATGAATTGTGAACAGTTATGAATGAACACTATATTGTTTCAGTTTTAATTTTACACCCAGTGGAAAGTTGAAGCCCAAAGGGAGTAGCACATTTACGAGAAAAGTGAAACGTAACCTAGGAATATGTAGGTGTTCCCGATTCTGCTTGTCTAGGGTGTCCCAGGTGAGATGGTGCCTTATGCTTTATACCAGGAAGGACAAAAAAGAAGGAAAGTCACACACCTATTATTGGGCTACTCTCTTGCACCAACGTATCAGCCAATAATCCGTATCGGCCAATAAATGCAATTATCTACTATCAGATTGTTTAAAAACAGCCGATGATCAGGGTTGATTATATCCTATCAATCAAAAGGGGACAAAAAAAAGTGTCAAACTGAAAATGTCTCAATATCCACCTCAAATGATAAGGTTGCACTATAAATAATCCTTATCCGTCAGTTTGACTGAATGAGTGTCAGGATTATGGACCTGTTTAGTTGTGTTTTGCCCCTGTCTTTGTTCCTGGTGTTCCTTTATATGGTGTTTTTCCTGTCCTCGTTTAGTTTAATTAGTCATTCAGTTCACCTGTGTTTGTTAATTATCCCTTGCATTTAAGTTTGAGTCTGTGCTATCTGTCTTTGTCCGAGATTGTACGTCAACCCTGGTGTTACCTGTGCTCCTGTCTGCGCCGTGTATTCCCTTGGCTGTTGAATTAAAAGACTATTGTGTTAGTTCACGCCTTGTCTCCTCGTTCCTCATTCCTTCCCAGAGTGAGCGTGACAGAATCTCGGACCACAACAGTTTAAATTGCATATTTCCCGTTTTGTTTCTCATTTTTCTCTCAGTGTTTTTGTTTCCATTGTGTGCCCCAATGGATCCCCTCCTTCGCCCTGAATACATCCTCCTCCTGCTGGAGCAAGGGGAAAAATTGTTCGAGGGTCATACCAGACTGTTTCTGGCTATTGCCCATCTTACCATCTACCCGGACGACGCGGTCTGCGTGTTCTATGATGCAAGCCTCAACCCCGCGTGCAGAGCGCCGTCGCCCGAAGATGGCCCTCGAGTGGAATTCACTGCCTTTGTGGAGTGGACACTGGCGAGAAATGGATCTCCGTACCTCGCCTGTTCCCAAGAGTATCTCGCCAGTACCACTCCCGACCCAGAGCCCAGCCCACCATCTCCCCGATGCGCGGAGCACATGCCCGAGCCCACCGCTGACAGAGAGCCATCGCCGCACAAAGCGACAGTGCTGAGGATTTCGTCCCTCCGGCTCTGCCTTGGTCTGGCGTCGACCATCCTGCGCCCCGGGACTCCACTCCTCTGGCTTCGCCTCGTCCCTCCATCCCTCCGGCTCCGTCAGGCTTCTTCATCCCCTCGGCTCCGCCTCAGTCCTCTGTCGCTCCGGCTCCACCGCGGCCTCCTGGATTCACGCCTTCGCGTCGATCACCGGCGCCATCGGCTCTGCCTAGGGCCTCCGGATCCTTCCCGTCGCCCTGGCTCATCGGCTCTCCGTCGGCTCCACCGTGGGCCGACATTATGGCTGTGGCCTGGGTCCAGCTGGACTCCTCCTGCTCCAAGCCCCTCCTGTCTCCTCCCTGGCCCCTCCCTGGACTCTGTCTGCCGGCCCCCTCCCGGGTGTCCGTCCTCCTCCGGAACCTCCTGCTTAGTTCCCATCCATGCCCCCCCTTCTGTTGTTCTACGGTGCGAGGACGCACCTTCCGGGAGGGGGGGCGATATGTCAGGATTATGGACCTGTTTATTTGTGTTTTGCCCCTGTCTTTGTTCCTGGTGTTCCTTTATATGGTCTTTTTCCTGTCCTCGTTTAAGTTAATTAGTCAGTCATTGCACCTGTGTTTGTTAATTATCCCTTGCATTTAAGTTCGAGTCTGTGCTGTCTGTCTTTGTCCGAGATTGTACATCAACCCTGGTGTTACCTGTGCTCCTGTCTGCTCCGTGTATTCCCTTGGATGTTGGATTAAAAGACTATTGTGTTCGTTTACGCCTTGTCTCCTCGTTCCTTCCCAGAGTGAGCATGACAATGAGCTGTAATTTTCCCTTCATGTTATATTTTCAGATGTAATAATAATAACGGAACGTTTGGTATTTTAATGTGACATGGTATAACTCTTGTTTTTCTCCCCAAATCTTCACATTTCTTTCTAGGGTTGTTTTCAAATGGAAGCTTTAAAATTTGTCTCCTCTTTTCACCTCTAATTCCCATCAGTCGTGTTTATTGGACTGTTTCTAAAGCAGGAAAATACAATATTCGTAATCTGTTAAAATTATGGAAATCACTTTGAAATATTATCACTCGTTAATATTAATGAACATTTTGATTAAGGCAGCGCATGTTACATAATATAGACATATTACTATAGTGATTTTTAAGACGTACATGATATTATTTTGAAAATAATTTAGATTTTGGGGTTATTCATGGTATGTAGATAGGAATTTGTTAATGCATTTGCCCTTTAAAATTTCCTTTTAATAATCAATGGTTGAAGGGTGAATATAGAATAATGCCACCTCATAATACCCAGTTTTTTAAACAGTTAATTATTGTGTTCACAGAGCGAACCTTTCGCTTATTGTTTACAGTGTAATGGAATTTACTCCCATAATTCATGCAAAGCGTTATGGGGCATAGGAAAAAGATGGTTCCCTTATCAATACGGTTCACTCGCATTGCGTCAACTAGCTAACACTTTGGGGAAACTCCCTTCATCCAAAAATATAGAAGCCTGATTGAATCAAGTCTGTGCATTGCACAGACAAATGGCATTTCAGCCTGCCAAAATGGGCATAACCAATCTGCCTATATAAGTAGGCGCTGAATGCCATTTCATCAGAATCTTTCTTCTTCAGCGCGAAGATCATCTTCTTGCTGAACTTTGAATGAAGATGAAGAAAGAAACTTCTTACTTGTCGTTGAAGAGCCCTTGTAGCAGACTAGATGCTTCAGCATACAGCTTAGAATGACTCTTCTCTCCTGCGGCTATCCGGCAATCATAATAGATCAAATTTCTCTATAAAAGCTAATATTTTCTGTTGCGTTTGCTACAAAATGTCATGTCTGCATGCCTCTGACGAGCAAGCTCATAGATCACTTTCTTCAAAGAGAGCAATCCCGCCCCTTGCAGTCTCCCGTTCTTTTCCTCCCAGGAGCCTTGGAGAAAGAAACAGTGGAGTCAGAGGGCTGAGCAAGCGGGTCATGTCATTGGTGGCCTCTGATGCAGAGAAGACTCTGCCCCCCTGCCGCTTAAGGAATCAGGTGATGTCAGGACCGGATTGGACAGCAAACTCATCTGTGTCCTCACTAAGGCCATCGAGGAGCCCATTTGGGAGTTTTCAGCCCCAGAGAAGCCCATATGTGGCCGCCTCAACGAGTGGAGGGCCCACTGCCAGAGACCTGCGCTGTTCTTCCCCGTGATTCATGAAGAAATCACTAAATCATGGCACGCCCGCTATTCGGCCTACGTCCACTCCTCAGCCTCCACCGCCTTCACAAAAAGAGCAAAAAAGGTACAAAAAGCTCCAAAAACACTGGGTCAGCCTGACTAAATGTGCACACACCCAGGTAACCCACCACTATCATAGTGGACAAAATAATAAAAAATGAACACCTTCACATAGAGAGAACTTCTCCTTTTCGCAGCAGCTTAAGCATCAGTGTGCCGATCTGCCACTCAAAAAGCTCCGGCCCCTTGCCACCTGGAGTCAGGCTTGGGAAGCCATTCTGGTTGTGTCGAGCTGGGTCCCGCAGACAATAATATGAGGTTACTTGCTCCAATTCACTCGCAGACCTCCCTGCGTCAAGGGCGTGGTCCAAACTTCAGTCAGGGGCAGCAATGCTCTAATTCTCTCATTCTCTGAAGTAGAATGTCTGCTGTCAAAGGGTGCCATGGAAATGGTTCCACCAACTCACAGCAAGTCAAGGTCTTACAGCCATTACTTCCTCATTCCAAAAATGGATTGAACCAGGGAGCTGACATGTTGTACCACAGTTCCACAGTCTCCAGCGGAATGGAGACTCCGTCCGCAGAGAGTTCAAATGATTTGGGACATCTTTGAGAGAGCAGAAGTCAACCTCTTTGCCTCAGAAGACACCTCTCACTGTCTAATATATATATTTTTTTTTTCAAAAGAAAAACATTCAATAGCCCACAAGTTGTCCAGCTTGCACCTGCCTTTCCCCGGCTGCTCTGCTCCCTCAAGTCAACAGACGAGTCAGGGAGGACAGATGCTCTGTCCTCTGATGGCCCCCTCTCTGGCAGAACCAGTCATGGTTCCCCGAGATGGTACAGCTGCTGTCAGCAGCTTCCTGGCTGATTCCTCTGAGAAGGGTTTGCTTTCCAAGGCAAGGAGAACAATCTGGCACCCCCAACCCAAGTGGAGCCTGCATCTTTGGCCCCTCAATGGGAGACTGTGCGCCGTCCCTCAAGGATATTGAACACATCTCATAGGCCAGAGCTCTGTCTAATAAATGTCTCCATACCCTTAAGTGGTTTGTCTTCTCTGACTCGCGCAAAGTCCAGAATAAGGACCCCTTCCTGCAGGAGCTACTGGATAAGGGGTGCACCCCTTTCACGCTCAAGGTATATGTTGTGGCCATCATAGCGAATCACGCTTTTGTGGCTGGGCAGTCAGTTGGGCAGCACTACCGCACTTGCACCTAAAACTTGCCGCTCCTCAGTCAAAAGAATCTGATGAAATAGCATTAAGCGCCAAATTATATACACAGATGGCTTCGCCTATTTTGATGGGCTGAAATGCCATTTGTCTGTGCAATGCACAGACGTGATTTAATCAGGCTTCAGTATTTTCTGATTAAAGGATTTTCCCCAAAGCATCGGCTAACTGATGTAATGCTCATTCCCTCGTTCATTATCTCAGGCAAACGAGGTTACGTTAGTAACCGAGACAATAAAAATCGCCCGTAGTTCAAGCCAGGGTTGCCAGGTTGCGTTTTTCCTTTAACTTAACATTATTTGTAGTGTGCCTCGCATGCAATAATCGCAATGAGCTTTTTGCTTTGTTACTTCTGATAAGAGACAAAGTCTCAGCTCTAAAATAATGTCCATTTTATCACAAAATTCAAACAATAAATGCTGTTTTGATGCTCTTAAATGTGGCGTGACAGATTGCTGTGGCAGCTTCAGTTTAAGCAGTAGCGTGGAGCATGAGTCTCTTACACTACAATAGTTATAACATGAAATATACATGAATGAACATCATAAAGTATGTTGAAAGTACAACTTACTGAATGTGTATCACCTCTCATGTTATCACTCAGTAAGTGTTTAACTGCATAAAGATGCCAGTAAAACTACTTGTGATCAATATGTCACTTAGTGTTTACCTCAGGAAAGTTATGTTCACAGTTGTTTAGTCATCTATAAAA